AGATATCCAGGATGAGGGGTTCTGGCTAAACTGCTTTAGTGGGGTTCTTTTGCTAGCACTGGATTTTATAATTGTGTGTACAAATAGGCCTAAGAGAAGGGCCAGAAGCCTGAGTAAAGTTTGACTAAGCCAAAAATAATAATAATAAACCTTTAGGACCCAGTGTTCTTGTGTATAACTCCTCCTTGTGTCACTTCAAGGCCCAAGACAGCTACAGAAGCATTTTGGCTCCAAGCTTCATATCTGTAATATCTGCATTAAGCCTGGGAATAGGATGGAGGACAAAGAGACTTCCCATCTAAGCAAATGTTATTTGTCCACTTAGCTTTCCTCAGTCCACCTGGCCATATCCAGCTTCAAGGCAGGAGCTAGGAAAGAATATGCATTTCTTGAATCTATTATGCTCCAAGTAAAACAAGGTTTCTTTTATTAAGCAAGAAAACCCCATTGTACCTAGCAATGTCAGCCACAGGTGACATTAAAATATATTCAATAAAATATATTGAAGACAGAGAGATCAGCTAGAATACAAACTCCAGTTACCACCATTGCCCTTAGTCCTGCCTTGCAGATGGTGGGAGCTAAGGAAATAATTGATGAATAGTTACATAATCTGAATTCATCATGTTTATTGTTTTTCACATTATAGGTCAATATAGACTACATTAAGCATTTGAATAGCTATTGACAAGCTTCAGGGTATGGCCCAACCATAAGTGCCTTATTTATACCCAAAGTTATGTCAAATTTTCACACCTTGCTACTCAAAGTGTTGGAAATTGACTAGAAATGTAGATTCTGAGGCTCCACTTCAAATCTGGATGGTTTAAGACCTGTGTTTTAATGTACATGGTAATTTGTATGCACATTAAAGTTTGAAAATACCATTTGCTTTATTATGTTTTCACCTTTTAAAAATTGCTCGGGAACTAGGTGCAGTGGCACACACTTGGAATCCCAGCGGCTTGGGAGGCTGGGACAGGAGGATTGTGAGCCAGCCTCAGCAACAGCAAAGTGCTAAGCAACTCAGTGGGACCCTGTCTCTAAATAAAATACAAAATAGGGCTGGAGATGTGGCTCAGTGATTGAGTGCCCCCGAGTTCAATCCCTGATACAAAAAAAAAATTGCTGGGGTTTGGGGATTTAGCTCAGGGGCAAACACTTGCCTCATATGCACAAGAACTGGATTTCAGTCCTCAGCCCTAAAAAAACAAAAACTGAACAACAGAAATATTGCTCTAATTTTTAAAATAATAATAATTATTATTATTATTATATTTGCAGTACTGGGGACTGAACTCAGAGGCTATCACCAAGCTACATCCCCAGACCCTTTTATTTTAATAGTTCTGGGATTAAACCCAGTGGTGTTCTACCACTGAACTATACCCTCTGCCCTTTTTATTTTTTCTTTTGAGACAGGGTCTCCCTAAATTCCCTGGGCTGACCTCAAACTTTTGATCTTCCTGCCTCAGCCTCAGGGTTGCTGCTGGGATTATAGGTGTGCACCACCATGACTGGCCTCTTTAAAATTTTATCCTGTCCCTGCATTAATGTAGGGTGTGTGTGTGTGTGTGATATACACTTCTCTGCCTCTTGATTTTGCAGCTGGTTAGGATAATGATTTCAACCTGCAGGGGATTAAAAAGATCATTCAGTGCCAGTTCTAATAGAAGATAACTTGGGGAAAGAATATCAGATTCTGGTAGTTGTCTTAAGGTTTTAGTTATTAAAAGTGATTCTTACCTATGGCAAGGGTGCTGTGGAGACGTCTAGGTTCTCTATAGTTCTCTCCCTCTCCCCCACCCCCCTGACTTTTGCTGGCTTCCCAGGCCTGCCATTTGGGAAGGGCGCTGATTGCTGGAATTGAGGAAGTTTGCAGAAGTTTCCCCAGCTGACAGCAGTGCACCCTGCCTCTACCCCACCCTTGCCCGCTTGTCAGGAAAGTCAAGCAATTAATTGCCTAGCAGGAATTGCCACTCAATGTAATGACTCATGGGTTGTAAAAAAACTGTTTGTAAGGATTAGCACATGCTGACATTTTTGACACAGGAATCAAACTGTGGATTTCCATCTTCCTTTGTCAAGTTTCTAGATAAATGGCCAGATGGGAGAATTTTGCAAGTTTTGCCATATCTCAACAAAATAATTATTACTGCTCCTGGAAAAGGTGAGTGAGTTTCTCCCCTCTCCTACTTTAAATGGAAATGAAAGCCATTACGTTCTAACTAATATAATACTTTTGGCAACTGATAGACTAATTGCTTTGAACATTAAGTGTTTTTGAACAATTGAAGTAGAAATCATTCTTACCTGAAACTTCCTTGAAAGAAAAAAGCATTGTGCGTGATTCTGCCTAGGTTTGGCATGGTTGTCATTCCTCTGCTATTAGAGTGGGCAGCCAGAATCCCACACTGGCCAGGGTTACCATAGTGGTGACCGATATGAGCAGCCACAGCTCTCTTATCCTCTTTCCTGCTATAGCTACAGCTGCGCAGTGAGGGGGAATGGACCCAGCCTTTTTCCTGCACCCAAGATTCCTGAACAGCCAGCTGGAAATTCACTTATGCCTCAGGTAACCCTCCCTAAAATGGATCTTGTCATTTGTGTGCGCAATGGTGTAAACATCATTTTTCCTTCTTGACACATTCATGTCCTCTCAAAGTCTCACACCCATGACTTTGGCTCTCTGTTTTTGTTTTGTTCTGATTTGGTTTGATTTTGGTGCTAGGACTTGAACTTGAACCCAGGGACACTTTACCACTGAGCTACATCCCCAGTTCTTTTTATTTTTTTACTTTGGGATGGGGTCTCGCTAAGTTGCTGAGGCTGGCCTCAGATTTGCAATCCTCTTGCCTCAGCCTCCCCAATTTGCTGGAATTATAGACGTGCTATGGTGCCTGACTGGCTCTCTGTTTTAATACCAGACAGTAAAGCTGATGACCTAAGGGGAAAGAAATTAACAGGCTTATTGAGGTATAATTGATATAAAAGGCCCCTGTAAACTTCTGCACATATTGATCTGTATATGTTTCTCAAATTGTATATATTTGATATATTTGGCCATATGCATAACCTAAGAAATTTTGACTTGCAAGTGATTTAAGAGAAAAGAAAGCTCTTTTCTGGAAACAAAATAATGAGCTGATGAACTCTTGACCTAAATTATTGGTACTAAAGTGTGTGTGTTGCTGGAACCCAGGGCCTTGCACATGCCAGGCAAGTACTCCACCGTTGAACTACATCCCAAGCCCTCTAAATTGTATATTATCATCCCAAAATAGATTTTTACTCTTTTCACATTTAAACAAGGATAAGAAGTAGCTTTGGGATTTGTTTGATTATAACAGAAAACATGAGCACCCTTTAGAAACATTTTAATATTGCCATTACTAGAGTAATTTTTTTTTTTGTACCAGGGATTGAACTCGGGGGGCACTTCGCCACTTACCACATCCCCAGCCCTTTCTATTTTTAATTTTGAGACAGGGTCTTGCTAAATTTCTTAGGGCCTCACTAAATTGCTGGGGCTGGTCTTGAACTCATATAAGAGTTGCCTCTTGCCTCAGCCTCTTGAGCTGCTGGAATTACAAGCACACTCCACTCTACCCAGCTAGAGTAACATATTTCTAGTAAGGAAAATCTTCTCCATACCCCCCATACCCTCCCTCTTCTTCGTTCCCTCCACTTCAGAAAGGAAAAAAAAAAAGCCCTGTTGGAGTAGATCTAAGTCTTTTAGATCTTTCCCCTTTACTCTTGCTGAATCAGTGAGGTTAGGCCCCGTTTCTGTTTGGGGGTCAGGTGGGGTGCTTTGGTTAAGAATATAGTATACATATGGCTTGTTTCTGGCTTCTGTTTCTACGTTGTTTGCAGAGAGCTTTCTTTAAAATTTTCTAAAAATCCCCATTTGAGGGGCTGGGGTACAGCTCAGTGGTAGAGCTTGTGTTTACCATGCAATTCAATCTACAGCACCAAGAAAAAACCCTAAAATCTCCCATTTAGATGTTCTGTGTTTTTATCTCATCCTTTATCTGACTTTGGAAATGTTTTCAGTGCTTCAAAAAATTTCCTTCAACCTATCTTCAAACATGTGCCTGAATGTTTTGTTTCGCTAAGAATAGCTTCTCTGGAAGAGGAAGGGCTGGACTAAAGGATATAACATTCAAAATGTTAAACAGGAGATTAGCCATGAAAAAGCCTTCCCTTTCCCTTACCGTTTGGACTGTGCTTATTTCTCCTGGATCTGTGTATGATTAGCCAGTCTCACAGGCAAGGGAGGCAGGGCCTACTGTTCAGGGCCAACATCTTTTATAATGTTCACTGGTATCTGTGTCCCATGACCTTGTTGCTGTCCTTTATCTATTTTTTCTGGTTGAGGGGTGTCCCCTTTGCTTGATTGCATAAGTTACTTGTGGAAATTCACACTTTGCACTCAAAAAGTTATGGACTTTCCTTCTGGGTTTGTGGTGATTGTGTGATGGCCTTGGCCTTAACATCAAAATTGAATTTAACATCTATCTAGACCCTTGGTTTCTAAAATTTACATTTGCTTTGCATCTCTTTTGCCCAAACTCTCATTTTCAATTTTGTTTTTAGTCTGTTTTAGGCGCCTCTTATGTAAAAATTTTCTCTTTAGATTTCTCATCTCTTTTTTTAAACTCAGTTTGGGTTTCTCCTTTTTAGCAGATGTTCAGTATTGCATCACCTTTTACAAGAAAACAAAAATCATCACTTTAAGTGTAGTGCGCTTTTCTTTCACATCTTCCTTTCTTTTCCTCTTAGTGGTTACCCTTTGTATCTTTAAATAGGGAGATCTGGGTATGAGTATATCATCAGCTTCAGAAATTGTTTTTAAAAATTTCTCTTCCAATCATGAGAACTTAAAAAAAAAAAAATAACATCCTTTTTTTCTCACCCTACTAACCCTTCCCTCCATTTTTCTAACCATTTTAGAGTTTTTTGATCCCCTTCAGGATTTTTTTGATCCCTTTGTCTAGTTGAATTATTACTTATAGAATGCACTTGTTCCTTTAATTATTACAAATATACCGTCAGTGACTAGTTACCACACTGCCATCTGCCAGTCATCCTCGTGGGTATTCCTGAAGGGAAAGCTGGAAGGCTCTGTGGTGGGTTTCTCACTCCCAAGACCTTATTTTGGTCTTGTCTGATGACATGTATTCTCCACGAGATGCTATAATTTTATTCCCCACCATGTTCTGCCTGGTCCATGAATCTGCCCCAACAGATTCATGGGTTAGTCCAACACCCCAAAGAGGCCCCTCCTTTACATTTTGACATGGTGACTTGCCCAAGATCAGAGGAAGTAATGTGTTCAGAATGATTCTCAGGTCTTTGGGGTCCCTCAGCACAACTTCTCTAGGCTACCGCCAACCATTTATATAGGCACTTTTCTTTAAGGACGACCTGGATGGGAAAAATGCTTTGTCTCCAGGTAGTTTCTGTTTATCCCTGGCCATTTAGGATTCATGTTCATCAGGGCACACATTGAAAAGGAGGACATGTGAGATCTGGACCTTATATTTTAGGAAAGACCTCCTTTAAGCAGATTTTGGTGATATTGGCCATTTCCAAATAGAAAAAAGACACAGATCGTGTGATTAGATTTATGATAACTATATCTTTTATTTTCCAAACCAAGACATATTTCAGAGTAAAGAGATGACATACTTTCAGATGCACCAAAGAGAGAGATCTTTGGCTCTCAATATCATCTTTTTCTTATTAGCAAGGGAGGTTTCATTAAGCATTGTTATAGGAGTTAATTTCTGGGTTAGGACAGTTCCTTGGAACAGCTGCACGTGCTTGAAAATGAAAGTTCCCAGCAGGTGTGTAGAAGGGGTCATTAACATTTGTGCTGCTCCAGAAGTGCCAATAGAGTCTGAGTTAACCAACAGAGATTGACTTCAGGAGCGCTTCTGGAATTTACTTCTCAGATAAAAACCATGATTGATTGGTCTGCTCTTCTGCAGCCTCTGCATTTCCTTGAAAACTTTAATGTCCCCAAACTTAGCTGAACCATGGGTCTGGGTCATGAGGAAAATGTGTTTGTGGAGACTGCAGGTTGTGTTTTGGAACAAAAGTCGGGGTACAGGTGGAGAGAGTGCCATCTAGTTCAGGAATAAGAAGTCAGGATGCCCAGGGATTCAGCCAAAGACCTAAAAGGTCAATTTTCGGAAGCTACAGACAGGCCAGAAGCCTCTGTCAGGCATGTCCCTCCTTAGTGACTTTTCTTCTGTTGGCTCAGTTCACTCATTTCATAATTGTAGTGTTACAATATTTAAAGATTTTTCTGATCAAAATTCAACCTAAATGTGCTTAGTGGAGCTTAGACTTTTAAATTTTATTTTTGAGAGCTAAATATTTTTTCCCAAGAAAGCATGTATTGATGTTCAGTCTTTATAATTTTCTTTTTTTCTTAAGATACCCATTTTTCTTTGTAGGAGACCACAGCTGCATCTGAACACCAAGATGAGGACCCACTAGAAGGTAATGTGAACCTTGTGTCACCATGATTGAAAACAAAACTTAACCATGTCTCTTGCTTCTTCACCCACTCAGCTTGCTGGAAACTGTGAGATCTTCCTGGAACATTCCAGCACAAGTTGCTGATGCCTTTCTCTTCAGTAATTTGTCCTGTTTGGGGAATCTGTTTCTATAGAATCAATGTCAGCTGATCCACCCCTGAGGGGGTTTCTGAAGGATGGGGGGACTAGAGACATTTCAAAAAACTAAGACAACGGTGTGTAGTTTAAGATCCGTTCCCTCCATATGTTTAGATTTTGTGTTCTGCTGAGTTCAAATGGTGTCTGCCAAAGTTTAGGCGTTGGCAGCCTAAACTCTAAAGCAACAGTGTTGGGAGGTGTGCCCTTTAAGAGGTGACCAGATCTTGAGGGTTCTGTCTTCTTGCAAGGGTTGATGCAGTCACTGTGGGAGTAGATTCATGACAAAAGGATGAGCCAATCCTTGTCACCTGTTGTCCTTCTGCCATGGGATGATACTGCAAGCAGAGCCTGGCCAGGTGCTGCCCCTCAATCCTGCACTTTTCAGTCACCAGAAAACGAGCTAAATACATTTCTGTTTATTATAAATCACCCAGTCTCAGCATAAAATGGAGCATGACAGGTGGTTCTAAAATGACAGGCAGGTGGTGGTTTCTATTGTTCTACTTTGAAAAGAACAAAGTTTTTCTACTCGGGGAAGGACCTAGTTTTCTGAATGTGTCCCTTTTGAGGAAGGAAAGAAAATATTTTGCTTGTATTTTAAGTAATGGGAAAGAGACATAGAGGAGAAATACAGAGAACGCTGTTGCCCGATTCTTGTCACATGTCTCTCTGGTCCCTTTCTCCTACGTGAGCTGCTGCCTGACAAACCCACACACTGCCTTTGTGATCCCCATCAAAGATGGGAGCAAACAGAATTTGCAGATGAGTGGGTACTCAAAGTACTTACTTTAAGGACAGGAAATAGTTGTTTAAAAGAAATCTTTACATGCTATTGGGCAGTTCTAGTTTTTAGTACTTTAATTTACATATTTACTTATTTAGCTTGCTGGGAGTTTCTTTGGGGTTAAAGTATGAGCTATTCTCCATGCCTTCGTTAGCTATGCAGACATTAAAAATAAAAGCATAAGAGCTTATAGGAAGAGTGAGCTTTCTGAATCCACAATGCCAGGACTCAGATCCCACTGATTAGCTCTGTAATCCCCCCAAATCTCCAGTGTATGGGTTTCCCCTATTTTAAAACAGGGACATTCATACCCCTCTCATAGGGTAGCTAAGTGTGGTTTCTTTCTTTCTTTCTTTCTTTCTTTCTTTCTTTCTTTCTTTCTTTCTTTCTTTCTTTCTTTCTTTAGAGATTGAACCCAGGGGCACTTAACCACTGAGCCACATCCCTAGTCCTTTTTATTCTTAACTTAATGAGAATCTGTCTCAGAATAATCCAGGGCCTCACTAAATTGCTGAGGCTGGCTTTAACCTCTCCATCCTCCTGCCTCAGCATCCTGAGCAGCTGGGATTATAGGCGTGCACTATGTGTGATATCTAAATCGCTCTTAAGTGTCTTAGCAGAAGCTGGCACCTAATGACCAACTGTTAGCTAGTCATAGATCTGAAGTAGCATGGCTCAGTGATGTCATACAAAAAAAAAAAAAGAAAGAAATATCTCTAAAGAAAGGTCCAAAGAGTTCTCAGAAACAAGGTGGAGCTCAACTCAGAAATAGCAGTGTTCTTGTCATAGTTGATGGAAAAACATTTCAGCAAGTGCCAGTCAAAGGCATAGACAGAGGTTTTTTTAGGAAAGCAGATATATATAATTAAGAGAGAATAAGGGCAATGTCAAGAGAGAGAAAGACCTTTGGGTTAAAGCAAGGAATATATGTTCAAGTGAGATTGTGGGCTATTTCAAGAGAGAGAGGTGAGGTTTGGGGGGGTTCCCGGCTGTTCTTTAAAGGAAACTTGATGAGAAGTAGGTATGGAAAGGTATGTGGGAGTGATATTAGTCCAGTGATCTCAAGATGGGTTCTCAGGTCCCCAGGCTGAAGTGGTCTTTGTTATCTGATCAAAAGATATTACTGAAAAGTTCCCTAAGTTATAGGTTCCTCAAGATATCACATCTATCTATTGGGGAGTTAATTAACAATGCCCAGATAGATTTACAGATTTCACAGAAATTTGGGAATAACAGAACTGTAAGAGAAACTGGCTTAGGAAGTGAGCCTTGGAAACCATGTGGAACTTCTGAATTAAAATTCTATTTTGGGGCTGGGGTTGGCGCTTGCCTAGCACATGTGAGGCACTGGGTTAATTCCTCAGCACCACATAAAAGTTAATAAACAAAATAAAGGTGTTGTGTCCGTGTACAACTAAGAAAAATATTTTAAAACATCCTATTTTCTTGTCCTTCCTTTATGTCTCCTTTATACCTGTTTCTTATTCTACCTCAGTAGAAATGTAACACAAAACATCAAGCCATCCAGATAGATAATTTAAAATTTCCTAGAACTTTTAAGAAAACTAAAGAGACAGGTAGAATTAATAATATTTCTTTTTTATTCTTTCCTTTTGTTATTTGGGATTGAATTCAGGGGCACTCTACCACTCAGCTGTGTCCCCAATCATTTTTTTAAAAAAACTTTTTTTTACTTGAGACAGGGTCTTGTGAAGTTGCAGAGGCTGTCCTCGAACTTGCCATCTTCCTGCATCACCCTCCCGAATCGCTGGAATTCTAAATGTGTGTCACCACACCCAGTTTAATAGTATTTCTTTTACTTAACATATGTCATGGAATGAATGTTTGTGTCTCTCCTCCCAATTCTTTTAGGGAACCCTAACCCTCCATGTGATGGTTTTAGGGAACAGGGCCTTCTAGGGGTGGTTAGGTTTGGATGGGGTCATGTGGTTAGTTCCCCTATAAGAGTCACTAGTGAGCCTGGGTCCTGGCTCTTTGCTCTCCACCATGGGAGGACATGACATCTTGGCAGTCTGCCACTAAGAAGAGGACCTTCTCCGTAACCTGACCATTCTGGCACCCTGATCTTGGCTTCCAGTCTCCAGAACTTCGAGAAATCAGTCTCTGTTGTTTATAAGTCATCCATATTTATGATTCTTTTATAGCAGCTCAAACTGAGTAGGATAATATCCCAAATATTATTTCAATGTGTAGTCAAAATACAAAGAATTAAGGAGACTTTTACATTTTTCTGCCAAGTCTTTGAAATGTAATATATTTTTTTCCAATTTTTTATAGTAGTAAAACACACATAACATTACATTTTTCACCTTAAACATTCTTAAGCATTAAGTGGATTCATTATCTTGTGCAACCATTACTACTTTGCATCTTTAGCCCTCTCTTCATCTTGTACAACTGAAAGCAAATCCAGTGATAATCTCTCTTTCCTCCTTCCCCTAACCCCTGGAAACTATCATCTTTCAACGAGGTGTGTATTTTATCCTCATATCCCATGCATGGATAGCTGTGTCCCTTATTCTGTAGCCACCTGTTGTTAGTGGCTATTGTGTTGAACACTGAAGGAGTTGGGTAAATATGCTGCTTTGTTGAGCTGGTTACTTCAAACCAAGGGCACCTGGGGAGCAGCAAGTGCAAGGAAAGGCTTTCTTTGAACTTCCTTTATCTGCTTGGGGACAGATCCTCCAAAGGAAATGGTTTTCCTGAAACCCACCTCCCCAGGAATTTGATCAACCAAAGAAGCTTACCTACATCACTGGAAGGGAGGCTGAAGACAGACACCATACCCAGACATTCTTCTAAGGGCCCATTTATCTTTCCCAGTTATTATTTACTTTCCTCTAAGTTGTCTACTTCCTTTTTTCTCCCCTATAAAGAAGGTATATAGATGGTGAGATGGTGCACGCCTGTAATCCCAGCAGCTTGGGAGGCTGAGGCAGGAAGACCACGAGTTCAAAACCAGCCTCAGTAATTTAGTGAGGCCCTAAGAAACTCAGCAAGACCCTGTCTTAAAAATAAAATATAAAAAAGGGAAGGTGATATGGCTCAGTGGTTAAGTGTCCCTGGGTTCAATCCCACGTACCAAAAAAAAAAAAAAAGGCATATAAAAAAGCTTCTAGATCTCACTGTGTTTTCAGTTATTCACTTTTCTTTGATAGGATGCCCCACACATGCATGTGATCAGTTTGTATGCTTTTTCTCCTGTTAATCTGCCTACTGTTGTTTTCCTTCATAGGTTCAATTATCAAATTCTCAGAAGTAGAGGGAAATTTTTTTACTACCCACCCCCCTCACAGCAGCATAGGTCTAGAAGGCCCACGGGTTTAGGGAAGATGTAAGCAGTTTGCTTTCATAGACTTCTGTTAGAGCTGTGGCCAACACCTAGACCACAGAATATGGGGTTTGTAGCTGACCACACTGTGTCTGTTTTCTTGTCCACAGGTTATAGGAGTGAGGGAGGGAGAGAGGGAGAGAGGGAGAGGAAGAGGGTGGAGACAGGGAGGGAGGGAGGGAGAGAGAAGTGCCTTTAACTTGAAGGAATGGAACCTAAGGCATGACTTTTAGAAAGAAAATTTCAGAAAGTTCAGGGGTTAAAAATAGAAACATAATTTCACAACTAGAAACTCTCAAAGGTTACAGGACTCAAAAATGTTAGGAAGCTCCCCAAATCAAGAATCGGACAACACAGTCACCAATGCCTATTTATGATGATCTCTGTCATAAAAAGATTAATAACTCAGGGTGCTGCATCACAGCTAAGGACAGCTCTAGGCTGGGTGGCTTAACCAACAGAAGTTCACTCTCTCACGGCTCTCCAAACTGGAAGTCCAGTTCTGGCCAGTTTGGTTTCTGGTGAGGACTCTCTTCTGGCTGTCAGGTGACAAACCTCTCACCGTCCTCACATGACCCCTGCTTTGTGCAGGCTCTCTGGTGTCTTTCCATATAAAGGCACTAATGGCGCTAGACCAGGATTCTACTCTTATGACCTCATCAAATGCTAATTATCTCTCCAAGGCCCCATCTCCAAATTCTACCCTATCAAGGATTAAATCTTCAATATATGAATTGGGGAGGAAGTGGGGACACAGGCATTCAGTCCCTATCAGGCACACAAAGGACAGTCCTGGAATGCATTTAGACTTCCAAAACGCACAAAGGAAAACAGAAAGGGCTTCTTTAGTTACATTTAGTACAAGGACAAAAAAATAAAACAAGGATAATGTTAAAAAAAAATCTGTAACATTGAAAGTCTTAGATACCTTTGGAAATCTGACAACCTGGACTGCAAACCCAGATCTAATGCCTTCATGATAACACCATGCCATCCCAGGTCTTCATGTGCTTTTGAATTAGTTACTATATAAAATGTATTCACTTCATCTGTGAAATAAGCAAATAAAGTGGCATCTCAAAGCAGGATCCTAGGAACCCTCGGTTTGGCTCACTGTGCTTAGACCAGGAACTCGAGGCTTACCCGTGACCTTCTCTTTCCCTGTTTCCCCGAATGGAATTCATCTCTAGAATATCACTTGAATCTCCCTTTTTCTCCTCCACCACTTATGTTGAGTTTGATGATATTGCTGCTTCTATAACTTAAATTTCTATCTTCACGTCTTACTGAAAGATCACACGGAATTTTAAAAAGTCAACCTTTAGTGTAATTCTTCCTGCTTGTGCTTTTTACAAACTCTCTAGTTTCCAGCCCTTTCCAATACGTGTTCTGTAAAACTCTATTTTCTTTGTGTCTGTTATTGTCTTCTTGCAGATTCACATCTTCATTTGGATATTGAAGAATTAAACAAGGAGTTTATGTTGAGAAGTGAAGAACTCTATGACTCCCTCATGAATTGTCACTGGCAGCCTCTGGATACAGTCCACTCGGACATCCCAGATGAGACCCCAAAGTGAAGCAAGGTGTTCAGTATCTATCCAGATTAACTGCATTTGTTTTTGTTTTTGTAGGGAAAAAAAAAAAAAAAAAAAAAACCTCTTCCATGAATGTTCTGGATTCTGGATGTAAATAAAAACTTGCAGTACCTAAATGTTATTGATATGATGGATTATGAGGTACACTAACTCATCAGCCCCTCCATTCCTGGAAGTGTGTTACTTTAAATAAATGCCAGAAGAGATGCTATGACTATCTTGGTAGAACAAGTTGCTCTCCGAGACAGAGGAAAACAGGTTTAATATAAGTTGGACTTAAATTTAACTGATGGTGACATTAGCTACTCTGTTTTGTGGACTTCCTGTAACATTAATTTTCATGCAAGGTTTTTCATTTGTATCTTGTCTAGAAAATGTCAATTGGAACTAGATGTTTGTTCTCCACTGACCCTGGGGTGCTCTGTAAGAAAGCTGGTGTGACGGTGGAAGACAGTGGAGATGAACTTGTCTCAACTGAACAGAAAGATTCCTAAGCATGGAAAAAAAAAATTGCCTTTTCCAGATTGTTGATTTTCTAAGAGGAAAGAATTGGGCCTTTGTAAAAGCCAGTTCTGGAAAATAAATAAAAGTCAGTGCAGAAACTTCAGTGAGTCTTGACTGTGCTCCTTATTTAAAACAATATTTTTTTGTCCTGAAGTTGAGCATTGTGTCCTGTTTTATTGCTTTACCTTGCACGGAGACCCCTTGGACTGAGGTGGCTGACCTGAAGGCCAGAAGGTGTATGCTGTAGAAGGAGAGTTGATCAGAATTTGAGATCCCTTCTACTCTGGAGGTGTTTAACAGATGCTAAGTCTTGTACCAACTAGGCTCAAAGACCTGAATCCCCAGTGGAAGGCCTGGTGGTCTGCGCCTGGGATGAAGGCACTGCCTCTCCTGGGGCAGGGCTTCTCAACCTCAGTCCTGTTGCCACTTTGTCCTAGACACTTCTTTGCTAGGGAGACTGCCTTGTGCCTTATCCTGCCCTCTACCACTAGATGCCTGCAGCACCCTTGCACTCCACTTGGGACAACAGATGTCTCTGGATATTGTCAAATGCCTCCAGAAACAAAATTGCCCTGATTTAGAACCACTAGGAAAGGGCAATGTTTTTCCAATTGCAGGGTCTGTCAGAGTCGCCTGTAGGCTTTTTTAGATTCAAATTCTTGTATACCATCCTCAGTCCACTTCAGTAGATCCAGGGTGGAACTCTGTGTTAGTTAGCTTCTCATTGCTGTGACAAACACCTGAACAAAACGGAGGAGGAAAGGTTTTCTTGGCTCATGGTTTCAGTCCATTGTTGGCTGACTCCATTGTTCTGGGCTAGAGGTGGGGCAGGACATCAAGGCAGAGGAAAGCAGCTCAGCTCAGAGAGGGAGGGGCTGGGGACAAAGTATACCCTTCCAGGGTACAGCCCCAGTGACCTACTCCCTCCAACTAAGTCCTACCTCCAACCTCTACCACTTCAAAATAATTCATTCAAATTATTGATCCACCAAATGGATTAATCCACTGATGAGGTTAGAGTCTCATGAACCAATCAGTCATTTCCTAAAAGCCCTGCCTCTGAACATTGCTATACTGGGGACCAAGTCTTCAACACGAGTCTTTTGGGGATACTTCAAACCATATCAGGCCTGAACATTTTGAATTCTCAAGTTGTTGGGTAAAACTTCTGGTGGTGGTACAGATACCACCTCTAAAAGCTACCAGCTCAGGAACTTTCCTAACCACTTCAGTTTAGTTCTGCCTGGAACCAAGGGTGAAGAATTCCTCTCACTCCCATCCCAGCACAAGGCCCTTGCTTTCCCACAGGGCCCTGAGTGGTTCAGGCACCCACTCCCCCTCTCCAGCTGTGTGTTTTAGGGACCAGCACCAGGTCCATCTCCACAGAGTGGCTCTTGCAAAGTCTGAGCCATGGGTAGTGATCCTATTCCTCTTGTAAAACCTTTGTTTAGGTGGAAACAGGATAAAATCTGCCATGAGCTCTGAGGACAAATTTTCCTCATTTTTAAAAAGGAAAAACAAGAGGCAGCTTCTATCTCTTTCTGAGCATCAGGTTTAGATGTGATACCTGGCCCAGCTGAAGCCAACTAGTAACCATTAGGGTACAACCTGAAGGTAGTGCTGGTACACTTAGGACGGTGATGACATCTGTGATCATAATAGTGGCCTTGTGCTGTTGATTAGCCAACCCTAGTGTCTCTCTGCTTGGAACTTGTTGTGTATAATTTACAGATGTTCCTTGACTTCCAGTGGAGATTATGCCACCACAAATCCTGTCCATTAAAAAAAAAAAAAAAGCTAAGTCAGAAATTTATTTAACACAATGACCCCATTGAACATCATAGCTTAGCCTGTCCTACCTTAGACATTCTCAGAACACTTGGCTTATAGCTGGGTAAAATTGTCTATCACAAAGCCCATTTTATAACAGTCCAATAGTTGTGTATACACACAGATGGGCATTTTGAAGATATCATGGGAAGCTGTGTTAGCTTTTCATTGCTGTGACTGATTTCATCTGACCAGAGCAACTTAAAAGAGGAAATGTTTACTTGGGGCTCATGGTTTCAGAGGTTCAGTGCATGGTTGGCCAGCTCCATGGCTCTGGGCCTGAGTGAGGCAGAGCATCATGGCAGAAGGGCATGGGGAGGAAAATTGCTCAGCCCATGGCAGCTGGGAAACCAGATGTGCAGGATCCAAGGGCAAAATCTAATCCCTGAGGGCACACCCCAGTGACTTGCTCCCACCTGTCTACAGTCACCTCCTGGTAGTCCATTCAAATTACTAGTCCATCTAAAGAAAATATGGCATATATACACAATGACGTATATATGACTTTCTGCAGTCATAAAGGATGGAATTATGTCATCTGCAGGAAAATGGATGGAACTTGAGAGCATGATGTTAAGTCAAATAAGTCAAATAGAAGTTAAAGGGCCATGTTTTCTTTTACATATAAAAGAGAGGGAAAAAGGGAAAAGAAAGGTGAAGGGAGTAGCTCATGGAAATCTAAGGCAGATCAGTTTTAGAGTAAAGAAAAGGGACAGGGGAGTGAGGGAGTAGGGAAAGGGAGGTACTGGGGAACCAATATTATAGATCAAATTATATGGTTATATCATGTGCATGTATAAATATGTAACAATGAATTGCACTACTATGTATAATTTAGATACACCAATAAAAATATGAGAAAAATGATTAACCCATCAAATGGATTAATCATCTGATGATATTATAGCTCACACAATTACATCACTTCACCTTGGAATATTCCTGAATTCCTTAACACAGGAAATTTTTAGAGAAAAATCTCATATCCAAACCATAACAGAGGCTAAAACACAACATCCAAAAAATGCCGGCAACATAGTTCGCTTTAAAATATTGGTATTTACCTTCATGATTACATGGCTGGCTGGGAGCTGTTGCTTGATGCCACTGCCCAGCATCACAAGAGAGGATTGTACCGAATTCCAAGTCCAGTTCTACTGAATGGGTATTGCTTTCACGCCACTGTAAAAGTCCAGTTAAGTTGAACTGTGGTAAGTTGGGGCTGTCTGTATCTTCTCTTTAAGCCACTCTGAATTTTTGTTATTTGTAGCAAAAGTATCCTAATGGATACAGATAAAATGTGTAAAGAATTTGATGTCCTTAAGTCCAAAAGACGCCCATCAGTATGGACAGAGCGTGTTGTCTAACATGGCAGCTATTAACCACGTGGGCTATTGTTGAAACTTCTTAAGTTTAAAATGAAAAATCTAATGTATGATATGTCAAGGTCATTGTACTGTCATGTGTAATTAATTAAAAAAAAATAAAAATAAAATGAAAAATCTGCTCCCTCATTTACACTTGCCATATTTCAGTATTTTAATAGCCATATATTTGACCAAATTAGGCAGCACAGATTGTAGAATATTTCTATCACAGGCCAGTGTCATACAATAAAAACTGTGCCCTTAGGAGGAGAACAGTTAGGTTCACTTCTCAACCTTTATTTAGACTTTTCCCCTAATTATCCCCTCCCTCCACGAAATGTCCATTGCATAGATACATCTACTCTATGTCCTTTATACATTAGAATGAGCCAGAATTTTTTTTTATTTCATCCCCTCTAGAGCCATTTGTCACCTCCATGGGGTGCTATTGTCACCTGTTGAGAATACATGGGTCAGCATCATGGCCATAAAAAAGTTCAACAAGGCTTTAGGTCACCATGAAAATGTGGATCTTACTAACACTATCTGTTCTTTGTATCTTTATTTAGTTATTTATTTAGTTCGTTATAGGTGGACACAATGTCTTTATTTTACTTTATGTGGTGCTGAGGATCAAACCCAGTGCCTCATGCATGCTAGGCGAGCGCTGTACCTCTGAGCCACAACCCCAGTCCTGTACCTTTATTTTTATTT